AAAATTGCTCGAGGTTGTTAGAACCGCAAAAAGTTGCTCCAAACGCTGAAAGTTCCTCAAATGTTGCCTAGCACAATTGGGACAAGCCTACTTATGATCACAGATAGCCAAACGATGTTTTCTCTAAAAAAAACTGAAAGCTTACTGCCGTCTAAATTAAGTCAAAATAATACGTTAAAATCATCGGTGAAGTACATATTCTAGTTAGGTACTTCATGTATGATGGCCACAAGTGCGGCTTTTATGTGTTTTACTTGAGCAAAGGCCACAAACAGTCCGATTTGTCTTTATCAAGTGGTTTTTTCCACTTATCGAGCCTACTGAATATTTTCGCCGTGAACTTAATATTGCTTAATTCACGAGCAGGCTCTAGACATAGTCAAGTGGCTTATAAAGAAAACACAACTTATCATTGTCTGACAGTCAGCTCAAACTTACAAGTTGGTTATTTTCATCGTATTCAAACTTGACTTCCTTTCCAGCTCTACCAGCAAACTTCACCAGTCTCCCTCTATCGTCATAGTCTGATAGTTCGGTTTTACCATCCGGGTATATGAATTTGATCAAGTTGTCCTTTTTATCGTAAATATTCTGATAAACGAGACCTCCTGGATCTGTCGTGTTCAAGACGTCCCCGTTTTGCCGCAGGAGGAATTCTGTATCATGGCCGTTTGCGTCAATAACTGTCATTATATTTGTCTTCACGTTGTACTTCCTTGTCAACACAATCTGAAAAATTGATAGCATATTCTTAGAACAAACGGCCCGAACATGTTGGTGTCATTATGGCGTTAACGCCGTGGACGAAAGGTAGTAAATCCCGATGGATGGTAATTTCAGTCACGAACAACGCGGGAATGCCCAAGTAGGGCGTTTTCACGAGGTCAGCGTCGAATCAGAGCCCAGCGTATGATAAAGAAGTGGAAATTTTCTTGTCCTTTTTTACGGTGAGTATCTATCCTCTGAGACCAAAGGCTAGTTGGTCAAAACGGCACGTTTTTCCCCCTTAACTAACCGCAATAAAATATCGTTAAATCTCCTGCAAGCATTACTTGTCCTTCTAATAATTTTAGCAACTCAAACGAGCGTTAAATAAATCCTTTACCTGGTCTCCTTGCTTCATAGTTTTAACAACCTCGTCATCATTTCTGACACTTTCAAAACGTACATCGCCAACACCAGCGCCCTGAATGTCCATCATCTTTGCTTTCTCGTTAAACAAAAGCTCAGCCGAGTCTCCTTGTGGAAGTCTGGTCACGATCACCTTTCCATTCCAGTCGTACGAGAAATGTGTTCCATAGATTAGCTTGTTTTTCTTGCTAAAACCTGTTATGTTACTCAGGAGTCCATACTGGTTCCACGAGTACTTGACAGTGGATGAAGTAGGGTAAACAATACCTGTAAGATCGCCGTGGACGTTGTACGTGTAACGAGTGATTTGTTCACCAACTGTGACCGACAAAAGAGACCCGGTATCCCAACTGTATGTGTAGAAACTGCGGGTAAAATAAGACAAGACGTTCAATTTTTAAATATGTGAAAGCGTAATGTACAAATGAAAGTCTGCATCCTTAACTGACTTCTCCATCAACAGTGCTTTCAGGGCCAATACGAACAGACTGGACGCAAAAACTTCATATAAACATAGTGTATAAAACATCCCAACTGGATAGAGGTATACCAGTTGGCTGTATACAAAGCGTAGCCAAAGAGTTTAAGTGGGGGTAACTGAGAACAAATCCAGTGAGTAGCAGGATGGAGGGCCTGGACCCGGGACCACGTAGCCTCCGTGGTAATTCACATTCTCGAAGGTTTGACAAGGGAAGGAGAAACATTCTTACCATCTCTGTTTTTTATTCGATCCATCTTCATATTGAGCCTCTCGTACAAATCCTTTGTCGTTGTATTTCACAGAGATTTTTCCTCCGGACGAATGAGTGAAAGTCGAGGATCTGTTTTGTGAATATTCGACGGTGATCGTCTCATTACCTCTCTGAATCTCCTTCAGGTGATTCATGACAGAATCAAAGATGAACACAGTTGAGGTGCTGGAGTCGGTGAAGCGAACGTCTAAGTAGAAAAGAAGAGTGGATAATTTTATCGTGTCAGCTAGACTGTGTATAAATAGAAATATTAACTGTATTTTTTATGGTATATGTCGAAAGAAAGAGGTCTTTTGCTTGCACCAACGAAAAGATGGCGAGGCAAATAAGTAAATCTTCCTAACGTGCCATGGCAAAAATGATAATTTTTAAGGGGGAAAATTTCTAAAGGAACTATGGTGCTGCTGTGGTGCAGGGTACTTCGCCCGCTATTCCTGTTTTCCCATCCATCCACGCGAGCACAGGTTCGGCAGGAAGACTAAAACAGAGATCTGTCGCGAATGGAACACACACGTTTCGATAATTTCGGAAATTTCATCCAAGAGGGCACACTGAAAAGGTATTCCTAAATTTTCGAAAGCTTATCTCGGAACTTCTCCGTTCCATTCTATTTCAGACCGGAAATCTTGAAAATTTTGGTTGCATGGAAAGAGACTAATGTCTACATGTCCATGAAGACATGAGGACCACGTCAGCATGCGTTCTAACTCAGCTTCCCGTCTCAATTCCTCCTCCTTTTTTCGACACTTTTCGGTGAGTCATGATCTCTGAATGTTCATCTTATCGTAATTTAGGGCAAAAAAACATACTGTGAATCCCAACGTTTTGTGGGTGGTTGTAACTGTAAAACTAAATAGAAAACCATGATACGAATTCAAACCGCAAATGATTCTCACCTGTGTTGGTGATAGTGATCTCCTTTCCATCAAACGACCTGTACAGCTCAGCTGTGACAACTTTAAACACCAGCTCTTCGCGTAATTGCACAATTTTAATAGTTTCAGGTGTAATTTGTGTGATCGCAGTCTCCCTTATAAAGTTAAAGGATAAAATAAATTAAAATCCTAATGAAGAAAGAGAAGAGCCGATAAAGACAATTCAAAATAAGGCAACAACCACAAACAACCTCTGGGCATGATATCAGCATTACTCATGGTTATAGCTCATAAGTGTATTTTGAAATTTTCATATGATATGCTGAAAGACTCGGCCCTACTAAATACCACCTCCACTTATTTGTTGCCTCCTCTTAAAAGACTCCTTCCTATCATCGTCATCGTTTTCATCATAGTTAGAGTTATCATTAACACGTTTATAAACAGCAACTGTGGTTTTCTTACCACCAAGGGGCAATCCAACCAGCACCAAAAGCGCCCTTTTGTCTTCGTTTTGATATCAGCGGACTGTAGATTCTTTGTAGCAACAAAGGAAGAGCCAAATCTACAGCGGTCTGACCCGTTATGTCATCTTCGGTTAACAACGGATCGCCTTTAAAAAAATACAGAAAACATTTATGCAAAATTTGAAATACGCAATTACGACACTCAAACGTACAGTATCTGAATAATTGACTGAGAATTATTTAAAAAGTTGGCAAGCTCAAATTTACGTGCGACAAACAGGTAAATGTTTATCCTGACTTATTCTTCTCTCTGAAGTATTCTTTTTTAAAGAAAAAGATGATATCTCACCTGTCAGTTTTCCGTTTGCAATATCAAGTTGGAACTGAATAAGATCATTCACCAAGTTGACTCTTCTTCCGGAGTTGCTGAGTAAGGTACTGACTGCTGACATCCTGTGTTGGAATGACGCGGCTGTCTTCCCAACGGAAATTAGAAAATTTTCCCAAACTGGAGCCCACAGTTCGCTGCTTAGAAAATCTGGCTTCAGATCTTCACTGCTGTTCAGATAAGGATGAGGCTTGTCGTTTTCATCCAACATTTGAAGACTGAATGTGCTTTGTGTCACACCGCCTGCACGAGACTCGAAATCAAATACCATTTCCCCATGAGCCTTTGGAGGCAAAATACCGCCTGGACCTTGAAAGGGTTGGGCTAAAAACACCACAGTGGAAGAGAACTGGCCGGATGATAACGCTTTTTGAACAGGGCGGAGTTGAGCTTGGCCACCGATAACACGAACAGCCAACACCGGGCTAACAATGTCAGTGTCTCCAACATTTTCATAAGTGACCGTTATCACGCCTGGTGAATCTACCACCAGAGCTTCTGGAAAATCTACATACGTTTCTAATCGTCCAGCTTCGCCACTTGTTATGACCAAAGAACCAGGCAATGTGGCTTCTTCTTTTGACTCAATGTTGACAAGTTTCACGTGGAATGTGGTACCAATGGTTAGGTTTCCTGTGATGAAGGTCGCATATACTTCAATGGAGCTCATTCGATACACCTTAACTGCTTCGACAAAGTTATCTTCAGCAGATGGATTTACGAGAAAAGCTTCCAGATTTTGTCCAAACAAAGCTCCTTCTAAGCGCAACGTGGCGTTTCCCATTGGGGCCACTTGGTTAGGGAATACCCGAGTGATTTCAAATTTTGCAATGTGCGAACACAATCGTGATGGC